TTCATACCACCTTCCAGACACCGGCTTCCCCCCTGAAGCATGAAACACATCCCCACAGTTGGACAACCTGAGTGCGCCGTGTTGTTTTGGGTTTGCGGCTCTTTCGACTAACGTCCATGGCGAAAATTGTTCTCAGGGATGGGGAGCGACTCATCGGATGGTTCCTGGTTGAGAACATGATCACATTATGCATCGACGCTGAAAACGGGTTGTTGTGATAGTACCGTGTGAAAATTGCATTTTATATCTGCCTACATTTTTTCCTGCCATAAAATTGGCCCTTAGCCGGACTCTGCTTAGAGTAAATTAGTTTACGTTTATGACACACCTGGTGCCAAATCGGCCAATGTTGGATGTTATTAAAATAAACTCCTTTATGTAAAACTAAACTGCACAGAATTGTTTATTTTTGCAGCTGTGGGCACAATGCAGTTCAAGCTAAGTCATCGTCTTGGGCTTGTGGTTAACTGAATGTGGCAGTTAAAAGAGAAGGCTTAAATCAGGCTATATTCTAGCTGGTATTTAAACTAGTTACCCTGTTCTCGACTATATAACCCCCTGGATCACGGGGGACTGCAGCCATCAAATTCAGCTGCATTCAGCATGCTGACCTCAACGTACAAATACGGATTTTTTATGAGCAACCGAGGAGAGACCTGCTTGTCCACTTATGCCAGCAGGTAAGTTCCAAGTAATTATTGCGACTGCTGGGACTTTGTGCATCCAGGAGCGACATCTGAGACCTGCGTAATTACGGACGATTACGTCTAAGGCCCAAACACCGTTCCCTCGTCCCGCGCGATAGACGGAGATTGACCGCATCTCCCAGCATCTCACTCCGTCGTTGGGGATCATAGAGATGACCTCTCTTATAAACACCATTACATAATCACCGCAGCCCCCTATAAGCACTGTGAGGAGGCATGCTGCACGAACCACCGACAACGAGAGCTTGCTTAATCCTCTAACGCCAGTATAATGTCTCTCAGTATTTTCTTACCGCCAAAATTTAGACTGTCTGATATGTGGATAGATTTATCGAAGAGAAGATCATTGACAGTCTCCTCATACTGCTTCGTATTTTGATAATATTCGTCTTGCCATAATATAGGAAATGTGTCCAAGGTTAGACTTAAGGATTAAGAAGAATAGTGACGAGGTGAAGTTGAGTAGCAAGGACGGGGCGAGGAAGAAGAAGAGGAAGATGGAGGAGGAGGAGGAGGAGGAGGAGGAGGAGGAGGAGGATAAAAATAGCCAAATGTTGCCCGTGGACGGGAGAACCTGAAAAGCACACGAACGTTGCAAACGCGTCGACGTGGGGTGTTGCTGGCACATTGTCACACAGGCACAGTTTTACCCTAACCCTGAACAAGTGAATATAACCTCACAGGACCGAAGCGCTTTAGCTCAAATAGTTCCGAATAAGTAAACGAATGAATATTTTTATGCATGGTTTCCAGGCAATATAATTGAATTTTCAAGAGCCTCGAAAATCAATGAGCAAATCGCATGCTACATAAGTAGTCCTTTTTGCAGTGTAGAGTTCTTGCATGCAGTCCAGAAATAAGTTCATTCGAAAGCCGACATCCTGAGGAAAGTGAATCATTATTGAATTATGCTTCATGGTGATTAGTTTTACAACCCTACTTAATTAATCTTTTCGAACCGGAGGACGCATTTCAGAATTTCGGTTGACCTTTCATGAGTTAACCCACCTACTGTAGTGGTCTAACTAACATCTGCTTCCGCCGCCCGAAATTTCTTCCTTATTTTCCACGGACGACCCTTCCATCGAGTGATATGCTATGCCGTTCACACTTCAGAACTGTGTTACGCCTCAGATCCGCGGCATCGGGCAATTTTGGCTTCGTGCACAACGCGCACCGCAAGCACGGTTATCACTGGGAGAACTATTTGACTGGAGCAATTGTTGCACCATTTCGACATCAATTTTATTTTTAGTAATTTCAATTACTATTAGCTTTTGTAGTATGACAGTCCCTCATGTCGTCTGAGCCTTCTTGTTGAACGCAAGCCCAATTTCTTGGTACGCTTGGCAGGTCCTCAAGGCTTAAGCGGCTGCTGCTCTGAGAAATTCACAAGAGGAAATAAGTCGGATCAGGCAAATTCACACTGCAATCCATGTGGTCGGCTTTGGTGCAGTGATTCGCCTGGTGGGTGAATTGGACGAGAGTTTGTGTTAGTTTGTGTCAACGGCATGTCTGTCTTAGGACTACAGCCACTGAGCAACGTTTGAAGATATAGTACTTGGGTAACCTCTTTGCTTGTTCCAATGTAAACTGTGCTTGTTTAAATAACACTGACTGGTTTGTAGGCTGCTGCAAAACCAATCATACGGTTCTGGCGCCCGAAACGCTCTGCCCCTGTTAAAGTGATCATCCATGGGATTTATCAGGGTCCAGCGGCCAATTACCATGGATGCGTAAAATAATGAAAACGCTCCGACCGAAATCTCGTCCGTCAAGCTCCATGTAAATCAAACTTTTCCTGGAAGTTCTTGCTGAATGGCTCCTGAACTGGGGCAATAGTGACAGACGGTTGATTAGCGCGAGCGAGTGAGGTCAAATTCGGCTTTCCTGATGCACGTCTGGGTTCCTCCCCCTTGTCACAATGCTTCGTAATCGACAGGAAACAGACTTCACCCAGTCAACGATTGCACCAGTGTGTGCTACCTAAGGCCAAATTAATCGGGACTCACTTCGAGGTAGATTTCAGTAGCGAGCCCAGTATTTTCCTGCCAGTTATAAATATAAAGCCGTAATTATAGCTACGCATGTGTACCTAGGATTATATATGGGGCAAATGGGCGCCTAATCGCCTAAATCCCTCTCTTTCATGATCCTTTTTTCAATAGATTAGGCAAGGCCTCAAGTTGGAGAGACATGCAGAATTCTACCATTTGATCTTGCCCGCTGATCGAAGCAGATACTATCCCCAGCACGGCTTCCTGATGCTATACATTTGCCGTGAAAGTTGACCCACAAAGTTATCTGAATCAGCTAGGTATCCACTTGTACTCTGAAAGGAATCGTTGATTTACAGTTTAGAAAGTAAGCCTTATCATCACTCTATATCAGCTCTTCGTGCAGGGATTTGGCGGGCAGTTTGCTAGAGCACTTGACACCCTCGAAGTGCACGTAGACCAACGCGACTCACTTGATCGATAGCGGTTAGGTTGGAATTAAAGTGAGTAAATTATTATCCGTCCAGAATGGATTGTTTGTTGCGTAACGCATACAGTCGTTTTGGCTTGGACCGCCATACTTTTCTAAGTAAAACCGAAATTGAAATAACGTTTTGCGAATCAAACGAAGACCTACGGATGGTTAACAAAGTAACTGAAGGGAATACATTTCAGCAGACATCAAGAAAGGCATTTTATGGAAGGATCTTTATGTCAAATGTGAAAGAATACGTTAACTTTACAAATTCCGAAAGTCGCAACACGCAGACTTTACCCCTTACTAGTGCTTCTTTATGAATGTTCTGTGGGGGTGGCAACAATTGTAATCAGGCTCACAAACTAATCTTCGTCACCGATGTGCAGGTTTTCCTGGAATCGAAATAATCCTCGAAAGACTTTTTTTGAAGATGAATTTTCCCTTGCAGCACGTGATGGAGAACACCACATACGCGGCAGTCAATTCTGGGCCAGAACTATGGGAGATTGTAGAAGAACCGAATAGAATTCGTTAATAAAATACTCTAAAAATCAACATTCAGCGTCCCTGCACATTGCGTTAGCTATCTGGTACTCTTTGCAGGCTGTGCGCTACAACTGAGCTCCCTCGATGCATAAAGCTAACATCATTAATTCAAAATGGGCTAAATAAGATCTACAACAATAAGGTGATATAGGATGCTGCTCATACGGAGATAACAAAACATCTACGGTGGAAAGCTCGCAGCTGCTATGCAGATCATCAGTATTAGCAGTGTCTTCCAAAAACGCACGAAAGTCTGCCGCCGAACTCAGTCCCATGGAGCCAGGAAACATTTGTGTTCCGGTAATTGTATATGTCTTCAACTCGTCTTCTTTCACTTGATCTAACAACGCTGCCGTTTAGGTCTGAAGGTTCATGCATGACAGCCTCCTTACCCTCCTATGATCTTCAGACGATTCGTACTTACTCGATTAATATATATTCGCTAAATGATGGCATGCAGTTTGTGGCATGTTCTCGGGCCACGTAAGAATGCCGTTCACCGAAGTGCTTTGACAGAGTAACGAGTTATTAACGATTTCATCTCACTTGGAGAGTCGCCCGCGGGTACACGCGAGAGGTCGCGTGGGGAAGATCTCGTAATTATTCTTATCAGTTATTGAGTGGATGTTGCCATGCGACCGCCCGTGTTCATACTGGTCCTGTGGTTCCAGTGCAAAACGGAATGACCTATATTCTGTACAAACGCCTTACGTTGGTCTCCGGTCTGCGTGCAACTCCAACCCCAAGTGGTGCGAGAAGGAGACTAACGGCCTCGGAGACGTCCTAGATGTACGCGACCGCTTGCCAGAATTTATGGTTGCTACCGACCAAGAGCCCCATTGCCACGACAACAAATATCTGGAGTCGCTTACCGGACCTGGTACAGTTGCGGGCAAAGCAACTAAGTCGGAGAAACTGGAAGACTGCTCCGGACGCGAATCGTCGATCAGGCGGCAGCTGTCCGGAGAAACGACGCCAAATCTCAGGTCGCAGCCTATTCGACGGGACCGGGCCACACACTCAAGTTCGATAAGGCCGAAATTCTCATGAGAGGTGATAATCACGTCGGCCGCGAGTTACTTGAGTTATGGTTCATGCGGCCCCAGTCCTTTAACAAGTGTAACGACATCCCCACTACATATTCCGTGCGGAGGCATAGTCTGGATAAAGTAGTTCATCACTCAGGGAGAGCGTAGGCCGCTGAGCCAGATAGACGAGCCATCATTACGCCAGCATCCAACACGGGTGATTATATTTCAGCAATCAACAACTTTCATACCGACCATCAACCAATTAGTGTACCAACGGGCATCAATTCTTGATAAAGGGGGGGCGCAGTTAATTACTATAGCTATACGGTGGCATAGCGGCTGCATCCTATAAATACTGCAGCTTCCTGTGTACGAATCACCCGTTTATGCCATTGCCTCTGAAGACGGGTTCAAACGGCAATCCGAGACGTCAGGCAGATAAAGCTCTTGTTCCAGCGATCGCTTCTACTTCTTATCGTATAGGCAAATGATCACGACAAATAAGTCGAAAATAGCGATTTCGTTTATTCATGGGTTTGTCGGTAGTATTTTCGTATTCGTCCACCAATTTTCTTAGCAGGATTAAGTCCACGATTATTATTTCAGCGTTGTAAAAATGCAAGGAATAATAGTGACTCACTTCGACCGGAAAATGCCTTTGCAGTTCCACGCACATGGGGAGAAAACTGCGCTTATAAAAACTAATCTGTGGACATGGCCTGAGTCGTGTCGTTCCTATGGAATCGACGCACTGATGTCTGTTTCCTAAATTTACGGTTTTAAAATTATCATGGAACCCAGGTACTACCATCTCTGGTTCTATATTTAAGCTGCGGCTGGTAGAGAAAAAGCAAAGCTCCTGGAATACCATCCTGCAATTTTGGAGACAAATTTGGCATTTTATAATGAAAGCCCGCAGACGGCAGCAGAACCACTGAGTGTAATTTAACTATTGACGAAGGGATTCCGTGAAACGGATACTTAGTATTGACTGCCTACGTAATCAGCTGTAAGCTGGGACTTACAGGTCAATAGAACCCGACGCTGATCTCTTCACTGCGCAAATCAGCAATCGTCTTTGCAAAAGAAGTTACTCGATGGACAATTAGGGCAATCTACCAATGGAGGCTATTGGTGTCACACATTTGGACTTTGGAGACTTGAGTAGACGATGGGATCTACTAATACGTGACTCTGTACTCACCAGCAGTTTGCCGTGCTCCTTCCAGGCAAAGTAACTCGCATATGCGGTGTCATTTTTGTCCAAGTAGTACAAATAGTCGGTCAAGTGCTTCACTGTTCTGAAGTTGTCCACGTGGATGAACGAGTTGGGAGGCGCTCGGTCATAGTATTCCTCGGGGGAGGCACCGTAGACGATAGGTAGCATCCCAGCTCTGCGTGCATTTGTGTGAGAGGTGATAGAGAGAGAGAGAGAGAGAGAGGGAAACGGTTAGTGTACACCGCAGCAGTCCAAACTGACAGCTCCCCACCCTCTAACCAACCACATATTCCCACCTAAAGCATGATCTCCCCGCGCACAAAGTGCGGAAGACAGGTGTGGGAAAGGAAGGGAGAAAATTTTTGTAACTTTGAGCAAACTACTGAACTTCCTTGAATAGTCTAACGCTCCATCCACGTCCTAATAGTATCAAGGTCTCCGTTCACATGGAGGAAAGCAGTAGATTACCGGTTACCATTGTTACCATTCGATTACTGCCCACCAGGCTAAAATAGTATCCGCATGCAACACGCTTGTGTCATATAAGTGCGAACTTCATTGGTCAATAACGACTACAAGGCGGAAATAAGCAGTTCCTTAAAGTCTTGGGGCTTCGACGGGGAACCATTGAAGTCGGTCACAAAGCGAAAATCAGTCAAGGACCCGGAAGTGGTATGGACACAGACAGGGTAGATGAGAATGTCCAGTTTTGGTGACAAACTGTCGACAGCGGATCATACCCAAACCTCAGTCCAGGAGGACATCCTGTCTTATTATACTATGTGGATTTCATGGACAAGTACGTTCATTGTGGTCGTCTAACTGCATAAGGGAGCATTTCTACCGCGATGTCTCATGGCAGCAGAGTACCCGTTTGGCCTAGAAGCCCTAGGAAACTGAGAGCGAATTAACAAGAGCAGAGTTCTGTTGAAAGTTACAACGGATCTAGTAAAACTAATGGCCGCTTGTGCTTTGTAGTGAGGAAAGCGTTTGAAATCAACGCGAGCTACTTTCTCCGACATTAACAGGGCACTTACAGAAGGAAACGTATAATACGAAATTATTATAAAAATCCCGAAAATGTGTTTTTGGACAGAAAGCACTACTTATACCGAAGATGTACTACATATTTTCGCGCGGCATACTCCAAGATCAGTCCAGGGAAGTTATGATGCCGGCCTCTTCAATAAAAACAACACTCTGTAAATAATGATTGCTGAGTTAGTGCGCCATTTGGAAATCAAATGCACTTGAGGAAAACACGAACAAAAATATACATTCATGCATTCATTTGGTGGCGTATCACGCCTTCATATTTCAAGCTCGAAGAATTGTGGGATTACGTTCAAAATATCTTAACCATTGAAATTTTTTAGGTATATGGTATATGTTAGTGTATTTATGCTACTTGTAACGTGATCCATATCCGCTACGTAAATTTTATATTCTAATGAACGTAGACAAACTTGTGATTTAACTTACAATGGAAGCGCAGAGCTTAGAATTCCAAAGCCTTAACGGAATCGTAAAGTTAGGTCACTTTCGAAATTGTACGGGAATTGCAAAGGCCTCGTTAAACCCGAAAGCCACCTTTTTTGCAAAGCTAACGTGTATGACCGACGTCAGAAAACGGTAACATATGGAGCGTTTCTTGTGGGGATTGAGGTAATAGGAGTTATATGGGTGTGATCCCATAGAAGCATACCGGAGCCACCTGAACAGGAAACTAGTCGATGGTGGCCCTGTGTCCGGTAGCGTGACATGAGAACACGTGAGCGAAATACAATACTGCTTTTGATTTAGACTGAACATCGCGTGTCTAGGGGAGGTATTAGAGACTTTTCTATCTCATATTGAGGACGGAGGGCAGCGGATTGTGTTGTCATGTTCTCCGCCGGGTACCCGGTCACGACGGCGATGTGGGTGGTGGGAATATACATAGGAAGACTCTAGACCCGGACAGAGGATCGCATATCCAAAAAACAGCGAAGAAACGTCATTTACCGTATCCCGTGCCCTAACCGTCGTTGCGCCTGTATTGGTCACACGGATGGACAACTTGCGACGCGCGTTAATGAACACAAACTAGCTATCCGCCGACGCGATTCCTTATCTCTCGTGTTTGCGCATGCTCTTCATTGTGATCACTGTTTCACTTGGGACGGTGCTGAAGTCGTTGCCATGACTAACAACAAGCAGGCACGGGAATTCCTCGAAGCTTGGCACTCCGGTGCGGGCAGCATTAACCGCCATGTTGACCTCGATTTTCACTACGAGGGTCTCCAA